CAAGAAAGATGCAGTAACCCGAAAGAGAAAAACGAGTTTCAAGACATTGCCCCCAATTAGCATCACTAAAAGCAGTGAGCTGAAGATCAGAAGAAACAGGATAGAAAAGACCCAAAGAAGGTGATCCTTTAAGGTACCGGAGCACTTGTTGAGCTGTTGTCCAGTGAACTTCACAAGGAGTATGCACAAACTGACTCAACTGTCGAGTGGCATGAGTCAAATCAGGTCGAGTAACGCCCAAATACAGTAGTTTCCCAATCAACCGTCTATACTGATCAGGAAAGGCATACAAGGGACTTTGATCATTTTGCAAGTTAAGGCCCTTAGGTAGGGGTGTATGCACTGGTTTGCACCCTGTAAGACCAGTCTGCTATAAGATATCAAGAACATATTTACGTTGGTTAAGAACCATACCAGAAGGAGACCTTGCAATCTCAATGCCAATAAAATATTTGGCATGTCCAAGATCTTTGATGCTGAACACTTGATCCAAAAAGGTTTTAGTGGCATGAATATGTTTCTCAGAGGAACCTGTGATGAGAACATCGTCAACGTAGACAAGTAAGGCCAAGAAATGATCAGAATCATGTTTTACAAAGAGACAGGGATTAGCAAAAGACTGGACAAAACCATAAGACTCAAGCTGTTTAGTGATCTCAAGATTCCACTGTCTTGAAGCTTGTTTCAAGCCATAAAGAGATCTTCTCAATTTGCAAACTTGATGTGGCAAGACTTTAGTATACCCAGGAGGTGGCTGCATGAAGATTTCTTCATTCAAGAAACCATGAAGGAAGGCATTATTCACATCTAATTGATGAATAGGCCAACCCTTTGCAGTGGCTAATGCAAAGAGAACCCTTATCGTGACTATCTTGGCAACAGGAGAAAAGAATTCTGAGTAATCTTCGCCCTCTATCTGAGTGTACCCCTTAGCCACAAGACGTGCCTTGTACTTATCAACACTACCATCAGGATTATACTTAACCTTGAAGACCCACTTACAGCCCACAGCCTTCTTACCGGGTGGTAAATCAGCTATTATCCATGTTTGATTGGTTTCCAGGGCTTGCAGCTCCTTTTGCATGGCTGCTTCCCACTCTAGTTTACCTTGAGCTTGTGCATAGGAAGATGGTTCATAAACTTTGGAAATATTGGCAAGAAAGGATAGATGGAGAGTATTAATGGCCGGATTGGTCACATAAGGATATGTAGAAGGGGGAGTAAACTTTGGAGAATGATGAGTCATAGAGAATGTATAGTAATCATCTAGCCAAACAGGTTTCTATTTTGGTCTAGTGCTTACTCTTGGAACTGAGGGAATAGAAAGAGTGGAAGAAGAGAAAGATGAAGGAGAAACGTGAGGAACAAAAGAAGAAGTGTTGCTTTGTGGAGATGATATGGGAGATGAAAGGGGAATTTGATTTTGATCAGGAGATTGTTCGAAGTGAGATGACACAGGAGAAGAGAATGATGAAATATTTTGAGACGGAACTGGAACTGGAGTTATCTCAGTTTCTTCTAGGGAGGTAATAATAGGTAAAGGAATAGAAGAAACTGCACGATTCTGAGAATGATATGGAAAGAAATTTTCCTTAAAGATTACATCTCGAGTGATATGTATTTTATGATCACCTAAACCATATACCTTATACGCCTTTTGGCCTACAGGATAACCAATGAAAATGCCCTTAAAAGCTCTTGGAGCAAATTTATCCTTATGAGGAATAGTGTTTGTAAAGAAACACAAACAACCAAAGGTTCTGAGATGAGCATACTCAGGAGCATTACCAAAAAGAATTTCATAAGGAGACTTCCAATCTAGAAGAGAAGTGGGAAGTCGGTTAATGAGATAAGTGGTTGTCAATATTGCATTTCCCCAGAATTTCTTAGGTAACGATGCTTGAAACATAAGAGCTCGAGCTATTTGAAGAAGGTCTTTGTGTTTCCGCTCAACCACCCCATTTTGTTGAGGGGTATAAGCGCAAGATTTTTGGTGCAGAATACCAAATTTATCTAGCAAGGCTTCACAATCATGATTAACAAACTCGGTTCCATTGTCAGTCTTGATAACTTGGACAGATTTCTGAAACTGAGTTTTAGTCATGGTAAAGAAATTTTCGAGAGTTTGTAATACTGAAGTTTTGTGACTAAGCAGAAAAGTCCACGTACATCTGGAGTAATCATCCACAATGGTAATGAAATAGTGTGTTTGAGAAAGATTAGGGTGTGAATATGGACCCCATAAATCAACATGTATAAGCTGAAAACAAGATGTAGTATATGTAGCACTAACAGGAAAAACAAGTCGTTGTTGCTTAGCAATAGGACAGATTTCACAAAGATACTCTTTGTTTACATCAAAAGACAAGGGATTGCCAAGCTGTTTTACAACTGAAAAAGAGGGATGACCCAATCTCTGATGCCACTGGGCATTCAAAGCAACATCAATCTTATTACAATCAGATAGTACTGTTGTTGAACAACAGATTGTGGAATGAAGAAGTACTTTAGGTAGGTAAAGTTGAACTTGTTTCCTAATTTCTTGTGGATCAAAAGATTCTGAGGTGAGAACATAAAGTCCTTGAAGCACAGTGCCAATCCCAATGATTTGATCAGTCCTGAGGTCCTGTATAATGCACAATTCAGCAGCAAATGTAAAGTACAGCTTTGCTGATTGTGCCAAGGATCTCACAGAAATCAAATTATACTCGAAAGTTGGCAGAAACAAGACATTTTGGAGGATGACTTTTGGGTTTAATTCAACAGAACCTACTTGCTGAACATGTTGTATACTACCATCTGCTAATACTATGGGTGTTATTGAATCAACGGGTTTAGGATTAACCAAAAGAGAAAGATTATGACACATGTTTCCAGTTGCACTAGTATCAAGAAACCATAAATGAGAAAACACAGCACATATATTTTTCAGCTTAGGAACAACAGTACTACCTGCAAAATCTGCTAAGTGAGCAAAGTTGACGTACTGAGGCACTGAATCTGCCGGTCCTTTTCCTTTAAGCAGCTTGGTAAACTCCTGCTGCAATTGAGAGAGCTGCATTGCCATCACATTCATATCACAACTGGAAGATTCTGCCATATCCATAGGAGTCTCAGTGGAAGCAACGTGAGCAAAATTCCTGCCTGCTTGTGGATTACCACCTGTTTGTGAATTATACCCCTTCACAATCTGAGTCTTAACACCTTTCTGTGCATTCTTCCTCTCCTGTAACCACTCTGGAAGACCATTAATCTTGAAACAAGTAGACAATTCATGACCAGGTTTTTGATAGTGTGTATAGAACCTTGTCAAATCCAACGGTTTCTTCCTTTTGAATGAACCTTGAGACCTAGCTATCAATGCTGCATTATCAGACATCTCAGTGCTAATCACAGATGTTGATCCTTGTGAACCTTGCTTGACAAACAGTGCAGAATTATCTACCAATGGCAAATCCATAACACCAGTCACTCTTTTCTCTGTCTTAGACAACATATTGTAAGCTTTGGCAACAAGTGGTGGCGGATCCATCATTAATATCTGATCTTTCTTAGCTTCATAACGTTTATTTAGGCCCATCAAGAACTCAATCAGTTTATCTTCATTGTCCCTAGCTTCCAGAATTTTAGATATATCAGGTGGACAATATGGAAACGGTCTATAGTGAGAGTACTCATCCCATATACGTTTCAAGGAGCTATAGTACTTAACCAAAGACATATCACCTTGAATAGTAGCTATACGTTCTTGCCTCATTCTATACAGTGTCTGACTGTTGGAAGTACCATACTCTTCTGCTAAATTCTCCCATAACTCTTCAGCAGAAGATTGTGCATATAACTATCAAAAACATCAGTACTCAAAGCAGCAATAATCCATGATTTAACTGTAGAATCAACATGTTTCCACTGATGGAAAACTGGTGACGTAGGTGGAGGACTAACACAGGTTCCATCGATAAATCCTACCTTTATTTTAGATTCAAGGACTGTCCTCATAGATCGACTCCATACAAGATAATTGGATTCGGTAAGAGGAGCTGAAACTAACATCATACCTGGATGTTCAGAAGCATGAAGATTCAAAGTATCATCCTGAGATCTCCGATTCACAGTGCCACGCATCTGTTCTGTTCGGCGAACTTCGTCAATTTCTTGATTCGCCATGGCTTGAAACAGAGAACAAGAAAAGAAACACAAAAATTGAACCGGTAGAAATCTAAGAGATAACAAGCAGAAGAAATATATGGTAGCAATTCCACAATATCAAGCCTATGGCTCTGATACCATGAGAAGCTCCATGGCTAGGGTTTGAGAATCGGACATAAGAGACAGAGAGAATTGGGAATTCTTCTTGTATTCATTAAAACTGTATATACATCATAATGTACAAATATATTTATACCGTATAAACTAATGAAGTAATGCCTAAGTCAACTGACTAGTCAACTGTACAAATACTAACCTATACTATTTACAAATATACCACTAGTCTTCTGAATCATGAATCAGAACTGGATTTGAGGTCGGTGGCAGCATATAATACTTGAAATCCTTTACTTTAGGTATGCACAAACATGATTATCTGCATTTTTAAATTCAAGGGCTTTTCATTCATCTAGGTCTTCTAGTTTCCAGTCTGTGGTTTTTCCATTCAGCATGTCAAATCCTCCAGAGTCTATGAATTTGATGTTCAACCCACGACCTTTTCCGCCGTTTCGGTGAGTGATGGATCTGTATTAGGGGCTCTGTGCATTGATTAAGCAGGGTTCCGATAAAGATATGTTCCTTTTTCTGTTTGTCGTTGGTGAAGTGCTTGCTGAAAAAGAGGAATGTGTGCTCTATGTGACACCTTTACCATGGATAAAATCTGCAGTTTTTCTACCTTCATCTGTTATGAAGTGATACCTTGCTTTATAACGCATCATGGCTTGCTTTGTTGGCCTTTTGAATTCAAAGGTTAAGTTGAAATGTTTAATGAAATAATCTCAATTTTCCAGGTATTCCTTTGTGTTTCAGCGACTTGTGGTCACTTTTATCATCCACAATGCGTTTCGCTACTTCTTTTTCCAAGTGATGAAGAAAAAGCGAAAGAACTTGAGAGTCAAATTGCTTCTGGAGATTCATTTGCCTGTCCCAGGCATAAATGCTTCCAATGTAATCAAGTTGAAGATAAGGAGGTTCATGAATTACAGTTTGCAATTTGCAGACGATGCCCAAAGTTATACCACCGCAAATGTTTATCCAGGTTTCACGTATTTATTGTGTACACAATCTTGCCCTGATTGTTTCATTTGAAATAAAAACGTCTAGCTTCAGTCAGGGGTGTGTAACTCTCTTTATGGACAAATTATTTCCTCAGAGCTATAGCGTTTGAGAGTGACCAAGATAATAACATTCAATGCCGGGCTTGGGAAGGTCTTTTGCCAAACCGTATCTTGATTTATTGCTTGTAAGAACATACTAACTACTGCTTCTAGAAATTCTTTTCATTTGAGTTATGAACTTGTTATAAACTACAAACCACTTAAATTTTGTTGAGAGTTATGTGGCAAGGATTATGAATCCCACATCGGAGGTATGATGACATGTGAATCAGTTAATAAGTAAAGTGGTCTCAGAACCCATTAGCTTGAGCTTTTGAGTTCAGACGGATCTTATCTTACTTATTGGACTTCATGTCGGGTTTTCTCCTCCGGATAAATCCCCAACAATGGTATCAGAGCTCAGGTTGGGCCAAGTGGGTGGGTGATTTAGCCCAAATTATCTTGGTTGATCTGACTGAATTCAGACAGTCAAAGGCCCACTACGAGCGGAAACGTAGGGATGGGCGTCCCAGTTACTCAGGTGGAGTACAGATTTAGGCTTGTCAAGATAATTTGGAAGCCCGATGTGGAGATTGCCCATGACGGGGGAGAATGTTGAGAGTCATGTAACAAGGATTATGAATCCCACATCGGAAGCATGAGGACATGTGAATCAGTTAATAAGTAAAGTGATCTCAGAACCCATTAGCTTGAACTTTTGAGTTCAGATGGGTCTTATCTTACTTATTAGACTCCATGTCGGGTTTTCTCCTCCGGATAAATCCCCAACAAATTTTTAGGGACCATAACATCAGTCCTAAGCTTAGGACTCCAAGAAGAGACCATTTACTTTTCCCTGATGTCAATATCAAGAAGCCCCAGAGTTCACTGGGGATCACTATCTTCAGAAGTGACAGTTGGGGATGCAAAGAGAAGTAAGAAATTTGGATGTCTTGAAGAAAGATCTTTGTTAAAAGTGTGATATTAGTAGAACCAGTGTTTCTGCTAGTAAAGTTGTGAAGGGTATTCCAAAAAAAGGTTGTTGGTGTGAGTCAAGTATTTGATTTTATTGTGGTAATCCGTGTTAGCTTGTAAGGGTTGCATTCTCTTCATGCATACGAGTTGTGGGAGGTATTTAGTATACCCAGCCAGTTTATTTTGTTCTTTTTTCCCCTAAATATGCAGAGGAAGCTTCAAGTATATCTTGCTCCTTTTCATCACGGTATATGCGCTACACATCTTTTGGCCGTCACTTTTACCAAAATTATAAAGCTGAAGGAGGTGAGCCTCTTGCTGTGACTATAATATTTTCATTGTCGCTAAAAACCTGAACTATAATATAAAATAATTAACTCATATTTGCATCTTCTATCGGGAGATATATTCTTGAAATCAACATTCTCTTAGTTCTTCAGGGATCTACTACTGTTTATACCCTAAGGTTAATTTGGGAAGCTCCCAAGATTAAAATATTGCAAACATCTTTCCAACACTAGCACCTGTTAGTAAGTGGTTACTTGGACAGATGGACATAACATGGAAATCTATTTCAAATAACCTTATGCCTTGACATTGTTGACTCTAAGTGTAAATCATCACTAGCATTTCAGATTCTTTTACTGCTGCTATAGCTCTATCCGCTTTCTCCTTGGCTTGATCTTATATATGCGCTTGTTAAAGGTAATGAAACTTGGAATTTTCACTTCAGGTAGTTGAAAGACTGCGATGGTACGTGAAAGATGGGTGACACCCGGTAAGCAATATAAAGTTTCCCGTTGACCATTGGCTTTAATTTTCTGTGATCAGTTGCCTTGACTGTTTCAAACACAACAAAGACTTATCCTTTTTATCCCATTATGTGGGGTTGGCTATATGGATCATGTATTGCTGCTTTTATACCTAGATAACTTGAATTCCTCCTACCCTCTAAGACTAAACCCAGCCACAGGAGTAACTACTCTTGCCGACTAAACATTTGGAACACAAACTTGACTGAACCTAATTCTCCACGGACCAAAAAAAGTCATCGATAAGGCTCTTCAATTCCGCCCCAGGCTTCTGATCCTCATTGTTCCTAAAGAAACTGAAAGGAGTGGTTAATGAAATTCCAACCAAGTGATACGATCCTTATGTTTCGGTTATCATTTGCTTGTGGAAATGCAGACTTGATGAGAAGACGTTCCCGTGTGATTTAATATGGGAAGATGATAGAACTACTCTCAGGAAAGGAAAGGTGAGAAAGCTGGCATCAGTCAATGTTCTTTCCTCTGACTCGATTTCTCAATTGACTATCAATGTTGTGTCTACATCCTTTTGGATATGGTTTATATCAGTCATTTTAATCTGCCTGGATCTTTGGATGCGGATGCCCATCAAGTGAATACTTGGAACAAGGAGACACCTCCATTATATCTGTGGAGTCACCCTAAATGGACTGCTCATCACAAATCTATAGCTCCAGAACATGGCCCCATCAGGAGGGAAGAAAATGCGAGCAACGCGATGGAATCGTGTATCAGTGGACAAATTAGTTAGATCAATGAAAGTTGCCTAGACAATTTACGCAAAGTAGGGAAGATAATGAGATTTTAGAATATGAAAAAAAATTCTTAGTGTATCCGCGAAACATCTACTAAAATGGGGGCTCTTCCGAGCTGTAGAGAAGGTGGAGATAACATATTACATGTAGCAAAGATAATTAACATAATAATTAGCTATAACTCATTATACATTAATCTACAGTTTGTACAAAGTCCCATAGTTTTCTTGATAAAACCCTACCTGGGCTATGTCCTTGAGTGCACAACTATAGCCCTTTGAAGGATATGCTTCAAGCAAAAATGCTCAAATCACATTTCACTACTTGTCATTTTCCTCTCCTGTCGAATTTAATCGTCTGAATCTCTGATCAAGCTCTGCCATAACAGCTGGCTCTTGCTTCTTCCGTTGCTTCGATATGTTTGTCGTCATCATAAAACCAACCTTATCGAATGCTACCTGCAATTGTTGGTCCAATCAACCATGAGGAAAGTAGACGCTTGCATTTCTTTTGAAAGAGTTAAGAAGTATGGAAGAAAGAAGACAGTCCCTTCCTTCCCATAAAAGCGAATAACTTCTTGTGAGAGAGCCGGAAAGAGATAGTAGGAAAATGCACCAAGTTGTTTAAAATTGATTTCACATGTAGGTAAAAAAAAAAAGAAACAATATAATGCAGGAAACAACTTACCGTCATCAGTTCATCTGGATCGAACAGATGATGGGTCGTTTTCTGTATAATATTAATGACATCCCCAACGTGATAAGTCAAGAGCAGTTCTTCTTCTTTCATCTGCAGTATGATTGACCACAAATATACAACCTTCTTAACCCGTTGAAACTGAAGAAGGCTTGAGAACCGATGGCAAAAAAGAGACATTACCTTGAATATGGCCAAGGCAGTATGAAGCAAGACCTTTGCCCCTTCATAGAAAAGCACATCCCATACTCGCATTGTTGTCTAAGCAATATTTTTGGGAGGTAAGTTATTAGTGAATTCTCATGGAGAAAGAAAGCAAGAAAATTTCTACATGGAACAGAAAAGATGATGGTAAGTGATCTGTGGCACAACAAACAGATATCTTACCTCAGAAGGTAAGCTCTTGGAGAAGAGGCAGAGAAACCATTCAGTGCAGACAAGTGAGACGTCAAACTCCAAAGTTTCCAGGTGAGCGGCTAACCTGCACCATACCATTTTTTAAGTAAACCAGTTATGTATAAGCTACAAATGATGCATGTCTTTAACTTTAATGCAGTACATACAGACAAAAGTATCGGGCACAGTTATGACAAAAGTCACCTGGGACATTTTTTTGTTAGTAAATCCTTGAACACTCTCTGCTCAACATGACATCCAGATAAATTGGTTGTATAGCAATCATTGACCAGCACATTTTCCAAGAGAACAGCAAGCATCCAGAAAGCATCTTCTTCTGTCTTCATTACAAGCAACAACAATGCTGCGACATAATTTAAACCCTGTAAAATAACCACATCAGTGGGATGTATTCCTCAACATTTGATAACTTGTAAAACTGAGTCAACCAGAGGTAACATTAGCTAGTTTAAAACAGATTCCCAACAACAGAAAATGTTGGAAGCTTGAAATTATGCAGTTCAGAAACAAGAGAACAGATTCCCAACAACAGGAAATGTTGGAAGCTTGAAATTATGCAGTTCAGAAACAAGAGCTGTTGCTTCCACAATATTCACAGTTGTCGCATTAACCAAATGACCATGTATTTGGTCAGACATCAAATAGGTGGATGATGATAAGGGAGGGGGAGGAGAGATCACAAGTGAGAGATCCAGTGTCAAGATCTTGAAGTCAACTAAAAAGAAAAAGAAACGGTAGCAGATGGAAAATTTTTGGAGATTGATTCTGTTAGAATAGAAACTGTTTACATTACTTCACACACAATAGATGATACTGTTTTCCGGTTTCTAAGATTAGCATCGCATGCATTTCTATACTATTGATTTCTGACTAAAACTACGTGAGCAATGAATGAAAGGGAAGTTAGGAATTATGTCAAGGAGGCACTGATATGACCTACAGTCCAACACCATAACCATACAAAGGAAATCAAAGTAGCGACCTAAGTATTTTGACTGTTGAATTATTTCATGTTAACAAGTTTGGAATCTCTTCCAGAGGCGGATTTACCATGAAAATAACAAATTGAGAACTGGCAGTACCAAATTATCTTCATGAATATTCTGCGGAAGTGAAAGTCTTTTTATCATTGTTTACTGCTTTGGAAATTTCAATATCTACAACATATATTTAAAAAGAACAACAAAAAGAAGAAAGTTCCGGCATCGTGGCATCATTGAGGCTATGTTGGAAAATCAGCCATAGCAACCAGTAAATCTTCAATTAGTGGTACATTAGGATAAACTACCTGACAGTAACCAACATCAGAGTCGCGAAAGGAATACCCAACAAGAACACGGCGAAGAGCAGCGTGACCCTCAGGGGTGTCCAGCCAAGGGTGACCAGGGAAAGTTCGAGGTAGGTCCTGTTTAAAAATTTAGAAAAAGATAAAATGGTCAACAAAAATTCAAACCAAAAAATAAGTTTTAAAAAAATATATATAAAAAAAAAGCCTTTGAAAGCTATAACGTTGGTACAGCAGTTTGCAGAACAAGTTTGAGAAAAGTTCCATAGTGGCAAACTTTGACAATTAAACTACAGGAATCCAGAGACAACCTAGTCAAAACGATGCATGACAATCCATAAACAAACTATAACTTGTGGGGGATGAAGATCAAGTCCTCATGCAGGCTCAACGTTAGGGGAAACCATCATTCGATAAAACTGAAAAGGTCAATGCAAAATAGTGGTGTGACAGCTTCACTACGCCGAAGACAAGATGAGTACCAAAGACAAATGTCATGACCTTTTGAAGGACTAATAGTGGAAGTCATCAACTTTAATTTTCGATTCAGCATCAGAAATAAAAGCATGGCATCTGCAAGCAAAAGAAAATTAGGATTTCACCATTCGAAGTAAACAAATTGTTCTAACATGAAAGCAGAGGTAAAGATCTGACTCTTGTCTTTTTGGTTAAAGTTTATGTATGCAAAACAAATGTAGACAAAATTATGGTAATAAATACAAAAAAAATAATAATAAAAAAAAATTTGCCAGCATTCTAGAAGCTATGGGTTAACTTTATTAAATGGGTGAATAAGACTGATATATGTAATCTCTTTCTAGCTGGGAAGTTGTAACTAATAGGATAAATATGCCAACAATTCAGGTCTTATTTAGGATTTATTACCGAGTAGTAAAGAAGTACGTGCACGTGGAATAAGAGGCCCGGGACACAACTTCAGATATTTAAACAATTTGGACAAGAACATGCTTTATAACTTCAATTGACATCAAAAGAAAATAACTATAATCAGAACTTCGATATATAGATTTCTCTTTTTCATATATACAAATATTACATATCAAAAGACAAATCTGACTCTGGCATGAACAGAAAGTGACTATGTAAGGGCAGTGTCAACTAGGTTAATTACTTTCTGATGCAAGATATCAATCTTCAAAATGATGCTACTCTGGGTCCATGTCATTGCCCTGACTCAAATGAGATTACATGAAATGATATAGGTACAGGACGGCCGACTTAGTTAAGAAAAATGCTTCTGAAGTCAGAAATATCAAGGGACGTCTGGAGGTAAAGAAATTTAGTAAAGAGAATGAATGCTATCAGCATATCTAATGGAGGTAAAGAATCCATCATACAATAAAAGTGATTTTCACATAGAAATCTATCCTCTTTTGTGGGAACATTACCTTTGGCTGAAAGGAAGCATGCTAGAATATTTTTTCCAGAATTATTGAGTATTAGCTGTTTACTCAAGACAATGAGTATGAGGTTTGCGTTTCGGCAAAATAGTCATTTACAACACTGTGATACCCCTTGCTCATTATATCAGAGTTCTTTACATTTTCTAGAAGTTCTAAAGGATAATGAACATGAAAGAAAATTGAGAAACAGATGATAGAGTGACAAAGACAAAGACAAAGACAGAGACAGTCTAACCCAACACCAAACCAAAGTATGACTATCATAATTGAAGCAGAAAACTAGAGATACAGAGGCAGATGGATTCTACGATGGTCTAATGCACAAAGTAGCTCATTTTCTAGAAGTTCTAAAGGATAATGAACATGAAACGAAATTGAGAAACAGATGATAGACTGACAAAGACAAAGATGAGTGTAACCCAGAACAAAACCAAAGTATGACTATCATTATTGAAGCAGAAAACTTGAGATACAGAGGCAGATGGATTCTACGATGGTCTAATGCACAAAGTAACTCATTATGTACCAAAAAGTTAGAAGAAGAATGCAGATGCGGCAGCTACCCCCCACAATGACCTAAACATGTTCCCTTTTTTTCTACCAGGAAAGTACCTTTCTAAGGAAACCGTCATATTTGAATACTGCATTAAGGTATAGCTAGTCCTAAATTCCATCATAATTTGAGCAGATATCTTTAGGCAAAACTGCTACAACCAATACAACTAAATGACACTTCCCAAGTCTGCTTCAGGAGCCGAATGACTCAGCCACTCATAAAGATAAATAGAACTTTCAGATTGTTCCGAAAGGCAAGAAGTAGCAGATAACCTAATGCCAATAAATGCTAACCAAGATTCTATTCATTCATTTCAAAGATCAATGACAGATCATTGCAAATAAGAAATTTGGCACCTGCAATGAGTTTCTCAGAGCAGGTGCCTAATGCTTAAATGTGAACAACTCACATGATCAATTTGCTTTGTCGCAGGCGTAACCTTGTCTACAACAGCAGATGTCAGATCATTGTAATAGCTATCAGGGACAGTTGACTTCTTCTTGGCAGCCCCTGACATTGCAAACCACACCTTAGGCCGGAGATTGGGAGGAATCCCCTTCCTAATCAACCTCTTGAGAGTAATTTGATTCACCAATGCTGTAAACTTGAGGGATGATTTAAGGGTAGAAGAAACATGGGTCTCTAAATACCAATTAGCGCCTTTGCTGGCTTCCAATGCCCACCAGACCCTACCTTGTTGCCTAACTTTCTCCCTCACCTCATTCAACACATTTACATCATCAACATTGCCTTCTACAGTGAACCCATAAATATCTTGAAACTTAACTGTAATATTAGCCCTTCTAGCGTGGATACTTGGCCTCAAAATGGGCACTTGAGCTTGGTACTCGAAGGCCAAATCCCTTTTGCTCTGAGTTCCATACATTTTAAGCCTTGAAACCTATTCCTACGAACTATGGTCTCAAATCAATTGAGGAATGGATCAAGAAGAAAGCTTTGATTAAAAAACCAAATAGTAGATAAAAGGATTTTAACTCCCAAAATTGGAAACTTTTCAAAAACGGTCAACTTTCCAAAGGCTTTCAAAAAGTTTCCAAACTTGATGATGATGGAAAACCGAAACGGATTTCTTCAGAAATGCATACCTGGGAATGGGATTTCAGGAAGGTACATTATCAAAACAGCATCAAAAGAAATGGGAAGAAAAAATGGGAAGAAAAACGAAATATAACCCCTTTAAATGGGAAGAAAAAATCAAAAGAAAAACGAAATATAACCCCTTTAAATGAATGAATTCACAAGAATCACAACACATAAACAACCACCGCCCATTAGAAAATAGAAACGCATTTATACAGAAACATATAAAAAAGAGAGAAATGGTTTGCTCAAACAGGCCAGGATGGAAGGAAAAGTACCCAACAAGAAATCCCAGATCTTTCTCTACCTCACCTTCATCATTGTCTGCCAAAAAAGAGGAATTTTGGAACACTTTAACATAATAACAAAAAGCTAAAACAAAGTTACAAAAGTTCTAAAAAACAGGGGGAAAAAAAAGGGGCAATAACAAAAAGATTGGCTGAATAAGAGGAAGAGGAAAAGTAAAAGAAAAAAAAAAAAAGAAAGGAAAATAAAATCCCACAATAGAGTTTTTGTATATTTTGATGAAACTTGAAAGCTTCAAGATTTTTGAGGAAAGAATTGGTGGTGTGAAATGGGAGAGAGTGGAGAACCAGAAAGATTCAAAATTTGGGAAGATGTGTTTAGAAATACTATTTACACACTACTTTGTCAAGATTTGGACTTTGATTTGATTTGCAAATGCCCCAACTGCGTTGATTAATAAAGCTTCTATTAACGTTACAAATGTTTTTGTGGGATGCCACAATCTATCTTATGATTAGATTCTTACCAAAAATAAGAACAAAAATACAAAAATGAAAAAATATATACGATATCTTATAGGTAGATTAAGACAATGACTTTTTTCTGTCTTAACCCAAAATATTACTACCAGATAGAATGTACGGCAATGTACATTGTCATCAAATTATATTACTATTATTGTTACTCCCTCCGTCTTATAATTATTGTCCAGTTTTATTAAAATAAAAGATTTTATTTTTGGTCATCTTAATTATATTTTGCCTTAAACAACCGGATATACCCCTACATAATTAATTATTTAACCACTAAGATTTTATGAATAATGTTTTTTACTAAGGACAAATGTGTAACTTGATCCATAAAAAGTCAAATTGGACAATAATTTTGGGACAAAATTTTTTGGGCAAAGTGGACAATAATTATGGGACGGAGAGAGTATTTATTTCAAATTCGTGAAAATGGTATAGTTAATGTGATTTTAATTCAAAAGAAAAAGAAAAAAGACAATACTAACTTTAGTCCGTTAATATTCTAATTTTATAATGCTATGTTATATATTTAAAAAGTAATAATTCCTTTTTTTGAGGAGTAACGGAAAAAATATTATTAATAAATATAATAAAAATATTGAGTAAGTGACAAAAATAATCGATTACGTTTAATCCTAACTCCTTTTTCTTTATTTGCATTTAAACAATCATTATCTTTTTTAATCTTTTATCATCCTAAGTATGATTTCTTTTTGTCCTGCAAAGTTATTTGGCAATTTCTTTTTAGATATAAAATGATTCATCAACAAAAGACCTGATTATTTTATGAGAAGGTAAAGTTAATAAAAAAACAAACAAAAACCATTCCTTCCAATCATTCATAACTTTCTTAAGCACTTCATTTTCACTATCCACTTCATATTAGTATTGTTATTTTTTTGCTCTATTTTATGTGAGAAACTAGAGTCCATTTTCAATTTATCTTTACAAAATTTCCACTAGCAATTTTTTCTTTTTTTTAGCAATTCATAAGTCATCCTTACCCAAAACAAAATAATACTAAAGTAGATTACTAATAGTGCACGTGAAAAGAAAAATGTGCTTCGTGATGTGAAAAAGACAAATACCCATGTTAAATAAGTTTAATGAAAACAAATCAAATGCAGTGGACGGTTTTTCTACTTTTCTCAAAATTAATACTAGTTGTAATATTCTTAATTTTTTACAATAATCCACCATTTCCTTTTCTACTACTCCCTCCACTCCAAAATAAGTGTCGTTTTAGCAAAATGGAGAAATTTCAAAACAAGTGTCTGTTTTCGGATTCCAATGCATTTTTTGTCAAAAATTTCCAAACGTACCCTCAAAAGAAATAATATTATTGGTGAGCACTTATTTTAATGTGATTAGTTGAGGATATTCTAATAATTTAGTTACCATATTTAATGTTTTCTTAAACTACATGCAAATTCTAATGACACTTATTTTGGAACAGAGGGAGTATTTTTTTTTAATCTTCATTGTCTTATTAAATGTCAATAAGATTCAAAAAAAAAAAAAAAAGGAAGGAACTCTCTCCCGCCATCATTACTCTCAACCACCATCACCGCCGTGTAGTAGTAACAAAAAGGGTTGGAATTTAACGACATGAGTTGGAGAGTTCAAACAAAGACTTTTTCAAGTTCACACTTGAAGTTAAAAAAAAACATTTAAAAAGAAATTGATTATAATAATAAAGTTATAACAAAGTCCATTGAAGAACATTTCTTCAATTTAATCTCCCTTCCCTTAATGTCTTACCTTGAATTGGTTTGTTGCGCTTTGTTAAACAATAGATCATGTATCACATCTATGTGTTGAAAAGGACTAACAATAACTTGGCTAGTTATCGTACGATTTTAATGAAATTTTATTGTAATGAGGAAGAGGTGAAAAAAGAAACTATTATATCCGGTTCTCAAGTATTTACATTTTTTTTCTATCAATTTTATATGATAATTGATGGAGTTATCATTTTTCTAACGAACTCGTATTATTACAAATTTTTCATATTTTATTGAGTGGAAAAGAAGGCGAATAGAAACGTATATATTGTTAAAATTTTGCTCATCCAAAGCATACGCTCTATGAATTTTATTTATTAATTTTATTTATTGCTAAAACGCTCTATGAATTTTAAAATAATACTACTACATAGTACATACAAGTACAACGCTTCACCCGAATTTTTGTATACTTGAGTGTACAACATAGAGGTGTTTATGTCTATTAAAAATAATCATATTGTAGACCAAAAGTTTGGGCTAATTAATCAGTAACGGGTTTAATTATTGATATTATAGATTTCAATGTAATACACATTTTGGTTATTTGCATCGTTTGCAATAGAAAATGTAATCTCAACTTTAAAATAATTATAATATATTTTTCTTCCTTACTTTTTCTCTGATTATTCTTCCTTTCTTATACTAATACATTTCCTCTGATTTTAATTATAATTTTAAAGTAGTAATTAATACTTTAAATTAATTTAAATTCGTACTTTATAATTCGGACCGGAGAAAATACTCGTCAGTGAAGTAATTCTAGTGGAGAGTGGAGACTACTACTTTGAAGGGATTTCTACCCAAACCAAAGTACTGATTTTAGTGAAGTAAACCAGCCCAGCTTAGATTAAAGACCATGCCAAGGTGTAGCCCATTGCCCAAATGCAAGCTTTAAAATCCAGCTCCAAATTTGCTTTCTCTTGCCCTTTAAATCCAGCTACTACAAGTTGTGGCCCATGGCCGAATGCAAGTTTAGCAAAATTTGCCTTTTCTTCCCCTTTAGGAGAACATATTTTGTGTACGCCTCCATCAATAAATAGGGAGAAATTACAACTAGATAAGATCATGAGTATCCCTCGATCATAGGGATCTTTTGTACTCCAAGGTGTCTGGCTTCCTTCATATGCATAATATATATATATCTTACTATAGTAGAAATAAAAACCATACTTAATAGAAATTACCACCATTTGCCATGTGGCATTTTCACATCATATTTTTAAAATAAATTTTTATTTACATATCTCCTAAACTTAAAAGGGAAATGCAGTCCAAATCTACCTCCACCTCCTATTTTCGCCAAAAAAAAAAAAAAAACCATGGGTTCATAAAAACTCAAATTCTCATCCCCATCTCCATAACAATCGACTTTCTAATCAATCTCTTCTCCACAATAAAAAAAAAAAAAGAAAAAAACAAATTCCTCATCAATCACCAATTGAGAATATGTGGTGAAATATACTCCTTTCCTATTAGCATGTTCATTTTTTTCATTAGTGATGATCAACTACATCCTAATCGGATAAAATTTCGACTTCAAAAAATATTCTCTTTACCTCTCTATATAAACACAAAGAAAAAAAAAATTCATTGATCTTGCTTCGGCCGTTGTTGTGGTGCCATTACATGTATTAAAATTTAAATGATTTTATTTTCACAAATCATTTGTTTGGCTTTTATTATTTTTTGTTTTTTCCGTTCAATAATAGTGTTATTACTATTATTTTTATGCGCCCATCCGTTACACCGTAACCGTTGTCAGGTAATATGATGTGATTTCTTATATGGTTAGTTAACCTATAATTTTTATGATTTTAGTTCTGTTTGGATTGATTTGATTATTTGGGTTTTTGTTACATAGTGTGATTTTTTAAATTTCTTTTTTTTTTTTATGTTTCATTCAATTAGAGTCGTTTTCTTTTTTTAATTATGGAGTCTGTTTTTTTTCATATATGGTCAGTTATGAAGTGTGTTTTTTCTTTGTTTAATTGCTTTTGATTTTGTTTCATACTCCCAGTTGACCAATTATTATTATTATTATTTTATTTTATTTGCAAATGAAGCGCATTTTTTTTGTGTTTGGACTTTCAAGAATATACTTTTTTGAATTTGGTTTTTAGACTTTTTTTAGTTCCGTAGCATATAAATAGTTCAGGTCGCTTTTTCTAACTAATTTATGGGGAAGCCTTTTATGAATTTGAGGTGGAGAGGAAAGGAATGATGTTTCTACGTTTATTTGTGTTTTTATACATCATTTTTACCTACAGAAAAAAATAAATTTCTCAATTCTTAATGGGCTATCTTTTACTTTCTTTTTTTTTATTTACCATGGTAAGGTGAGTTCTTTTTTGCTATAACTTGAAACCTATGCAAATTTACGTTATTTTCATTCTCATATTTGTGATCAACCAGTTATAACAATTAACCAGTTTCAAAATTATATTTTTGATATTTTACTATCTATAAACTTTTGGAAGAAATAGTTCCAACAATTAAGCGTATACCTTTTGGAGGAAGCTTACTACAAAGCTATTATAAATCTCCAAAACTAAGTATTGATTTGGTACAACCAATGGAGAACATTAATAAATCATCTTACTAATATTTAAACTTATTAGGATGCTTTTATATTTTGTCTAGCATTTACTTCAAGACATATATTTGATCAATTTATTTATATTTAAGAAGTAACGCTTATAAAATATTTTTAAAATCTTCAAACATTTCTAAAACGTACCGGGCCAAATACAATTTTTTTTTATGCCAAATACAAACATTTCTATGATCATACTTATAAAATATTTCTAAATTCTTCAAACATTTCTAAAATATATTAATCCAAATACAAAATATTTTTTTTTTCAGATACAAATATTTTTAAGATCTATAGATATATTGGGCCAAGGTCGCGCATTGCGCGACCAGACATCACTAGTATATATATATATATACATATATTTTGATCATATTATTACATATATTCCATCCAATTCCAAAAAGAATATCGGATATTTATTTATATAGCATCCATTTTTTTCTTTTTTGATACAAAGAAAGACGTCAAAAGGCTTAGAATACTAAGACGATATCGTTCAAGAATAATAACATTGTCCTTATCTTGCATAGAAGACAAAATTCTACCAACTTGAAACACCTACAAAATAGAGAACTCATAATATTTCAATTCCAACTTGATAGAAATGACCTAACATAGCGCATATTGGATACTGAAGGCATATGCACGA